CCTTCCTTCCTTCCTTCCTTCCTTCCTTCCTTCCTTCCTTCCTTCCTTCCTTCCTTCCTTCCTTCCTTCCTTCCTTCCTTCCCTCCTTCCTTGTTCATAATCATTGATCCATATCTATTTTTACGCATTATTACCAAGTGGTGCATAAGCGGAAAGTGTGAACACTCAGGAATTGCCTTGATGCCGATCGATGGTGGTTGGTCAGAGTGGAGCTCCTTTAATAACTGTACTCGCAAGTGTGGAGGAGGTGTTCAATACAAGCAGAGAAAATGTGACAATCCAAAGTAAGTTTGTAAGTAACATAGCTAGCAAACCCATGCTATCAAATTTAGTAGACGTTAGCATACGCCACAATTCGATGATGCACTTTCGTGACGTGAACAAAGTTAACTCGTTTTAAATATATTTCCATTGTTTATGAAACAATTTATACTCGTTCAACTGTGAACCATCGAGTTGAAGAGCACTCCGGGCTGCGCCTTGAGCAACTCTTACGCTTCTTTTGTGCTCTTTCAAACTTCCCNTTTTACCATACGGACCGTTTCCATGGAAAGAATCATAAGCCGTGTATTGTTTTTTTTATTTTCGAAGGCGTGGCCTTAGTGCCATATAAAATAAGCAGGAAAGACTCTGTATGACCACATTTCCAAACACCGGGAAGAGAGTTGAAAATACAACAAGATGAAGAGTGTTTTGACGAACTTCGAGATGTTTGGATTTGTGGTCAAATACTGTCTTTCGTGTTCGATATATTACATCTAAAATTACTTTCTGATAACGATTTGTTAATGCTTATACGTATCATATAATTCAATTTCAGTCTGCTACGTGTATTGCAGAGCAGGGAATACGATAGCACGTGTTGGAATTGTACCAGACGGTCACAGATGCACACGTAATAAAGAAGACTTCAGTGTTTGCATAAGTGGACGATGCAGGGTATGATTTTATCATAGAGTCAGTGTAGCTAATTTACAGAAATAGCTCCGTCATGATAATCTCGTAGAGTGTCTTTCGTTATTCATTTGTCATTTAGTTTTCTTTTTTCTTCAGGGTGGGGCGGGGAAGTTATCAAAAAGAATTAATGTTGCGTTTCAATATATTGTTTTGCTTGGTCTTTTGAAGTGATGTTGCGTCTAAAGGGGGAAAAATTAGTTAAGTAGCCATTTAACAGAATAGGTTCGTAATAGGCCTTTTCCGAGTGACCTTGTACCTCTGTTTCAAGACGAGTCTTCGTGCAAAACCGTTCACATGAAAATGACTTTGATTAGCACGAAAATAAACATGTAGGCGGAACACATTCCCATAAGAATGATTTTGCACGAAGACTCGTTTTGACACAGAGGCAAAAGGCAACTCAACAAGTGCCCTATTATGATTTGTTATGCTTTTGCAATGGTGTCAGCCGGTAGGCTGTGATCACGTGCTGGACAGCGAAACAATGGAAGATCGGTGTGGTACGTGTGGAGGGAACGGAGACTCCTGTACGAGGGTTCTTTCAAATTACACAGATTCTCCCAGTCAAAACGGTAAGAAAAGCCTTTACGTGATTTCCTGTGATTACTTCACTCTGTTACTACTAGAACCATTAAACCCGATGAAAATACAAACGCGTTTCAAGTAAGCAAAACGGCTCACTTTGCTACATAAGTTGTTTTAAGCATACTAATCGAGAAAGTGGTGGGGGAGTGGTGAAAGAGGGTTGGTGTACCCTCATTAGGGTTTTGACACCTCAAAAATAGTTTATACTGAGTAAAAATATCAAGCTTTTCTTCATCTTCTATATTTTCTAGACGTCGTCTTAGGAAGTCAGAAACTAGACAGACACCTTCCATTATGTGGCCACCAGTGAAGGCCCCAAGGATGTCCGCTTAACACNTATTTTACTTCAGATTGAAAACGACTGTTTACAGATGGCTATAAAGGCTTTTATAAAGCAGTCTTACCTAACTCGACAAGGAACCATTAGCGAGCACTAACAGTGCCCTTACTAACAGCGTGCAAGTGCTAAAACCGAGCGCAAAGAGAAGACCTTATTAAGAGGGTGTCTGTAGAGAGGAGTGTGTAAAATCTATGCCATAATGTAACGGAGACGGAGAAATAGAAATTTATTTGTCATATCAGACCCATATGTGTAATAATTTTCAAGTCAATATTACCACAACATTAGACTTCAGGCTACTAAGTCAATTGTGCAAACTTTTATGGCAAATTTTCTATCGTGGTCCAAAATATTTTAAGTCTCGTCCTCTTGAGATCACTGGCCCTTCATTTGTTGTTTCCTTCAGGAAAAACTTAAAACGTCCATTATCAGCAATTACTAATTCTGTTAAGCGTACAAATATGGTTTGTTATCATACATTGAACACACTATCTCTTTTCTGATTGGCCGAAAGCGTACAATGAATTTTCGAAATCAGCGCCTGTGACGTCATCTAGCTGCAGATTAGACAATAATCATGTCAAGAACACCCAAGGTCACGGGTAATCTTGTCATGTATGACTGCGGTGCATGATTTCTAAGGGTAATCATGTCAAGTTCCCGCGCTTTGACTTCCATTTCTTTTTCGTTCAATGTATAATAAAGCAAATACTAGATTCGGTTTCTGTGATATTCAGAATAATCAAGTTTTCGGTAAGGGTTATTAGCCTCAGCCTTCGGCTTCGGCTGATAACCCCAACCTCGACCTTGATTATTCTGGTTATCACAAAAACCTCATTCAATAATTGTTTATAAATTCGTCATCTACCATAGTAATGTATAGGTTTAGTCATCTTGTAGTTCTTGGGAGGGAGCCCAAGTGTAGTTTTTATTAGGTTTCCTCGTCATTTTTTCTTCGATTTTTTGAATCTTTTTTTATGGCAAATACAGATAAAATAAATAAATAAATAAATGGATAAATAAATAAATAAATAANGTCACAAAATTGTTTCATCACATACCTCAGCGTTTTCCTTATGGTTTTTGTGAATATTTTACTTCAGATTGAAAACGACTGTTTACAGATGGCTATAAAGGCTTTTATAAAGCAGTCTTACCTAACTCGACAAGGAACCATTAGCGAGCACTAACAGTGCCCTTACTAACAGCATGCATGCAAGTACTGAAACCGAGCACAAAGAGAAGACCTTATTAAGAGGGTGTCTGTAGAGAGGAGTTTGTAAAATCTATGCCATAATGTAACGGAGACGGAGAAATAGAAATTTATTTGTCATATCAGACCCATATGTGTAATAATTTTCAAGACGACAATATTACCACAGCATTAGACTTCAGGCTACCAAGTCAATCGTGCAAACTTTTATGGTAAATTTTCTATCGTGGTCCAAAGTATTTTAAGTCTCTTCATCTTGAGATCACTGGCCCTTCATTTGTTGTTTCCTTCAGGAAAAACTTTAAATGTCTATTATCAGCAATTATTAATTCTGTTAAGCGTACAAATATGGCTTGTTATCATACATTGAACACACTATCTCTTTTCTGATTGACCGAAAGCGTACAATGAATTTTCGAAATCAGCGCCTGTGACGTCATCTAGCTGCAGGTTAGACAATAATCATGTCAAAAACACTCAAGGTCACGGGTAATCATGTCATGTATGACTGCGGTGCATGATTTCTAAGGATAATCATGTCAAGTTCCCGCGCTTTGACTCCCATTTCTTTTTCGTTCAATGTATAATAAAACAAATACTAGATTCGGTTTTTGTGATATTCAGAATAATCAATGTCTCGGTAGGGGTTATTAGCCTCAGCCTTCGGCTTCGGCTGATAACCCCAACCTCGACCTTGATTATTCTGGCTATCACAAAAACCTCATTCAATAATTGTTTATAAATTCGTCATCTACCATAGTAATGTATAGGTTTAGTCATCTTGTAGTTCTTGGGAGGGAACCTAAGTGTAGTTTTTATTAGGTTCCCTCGTCATTTATTCTTCGATTTTTTGTATCTTTTTTTATGGCAAATACAGATAAAATAAATAAATGAATAATCAAACTTTATTTGATTAATTTTCAGTGCTCCACAAAGTGCGCGATTGGAACAAAGCGTCGTCAAGTTCTATGTTCAAGAATCAACGAACTTGGAAACTTTTCCGTGATTGATTATGAGTTCTGTCGATACCTAGACAATCCACCTCCAGCTGAGGCGCCGTGTAACGAGGACAGTCCTTGTGGACGTAAGAACCATAGCTTTTATTTCAGTAACGTTTTGCTGAAAAAATTAATATAGTCGAATCTCCGGTTCCGTCCACCTCTGATAATACCAAAAGTTTCCAAGTCAAACCACTAAATTTGGAAGCCCTTGTAAGCGACAACCTTTCGTAAGCGACCGCGACCACTTTTAGAGCTAAAAGTTTGAAATTTTCTTTTGTTTTAACCTCCCTTAAGCGACCATTTGAAAGATAATAGAGTGTAAATTAGATAATAAGGTGTACGTTGTAACATATCGCATTCCTGGTTAGTAAAAGAAACAAAAATTTCTCAGTGGGTAGTACCGGATTTTTTCTCGAAATTGACTTTTCACATGAATAAAACATTTAAAACGGGAGGTAAGTCTCTGCTGTTACCACATGCTAATGAGGCAAAATTTTGACCCAATATGGTCTAAGCTCTCGTGAGCGACCACCTTAAATATCAAACCTTGGTGTTCGCTGACGAGAGGTGGTCGCTTACGAGGTTCAACAGTATAAGTATTTGAAATACACGTGGAAAGGAATAAACAAACCTTTAAAAATGGGCGACGACGAACTGACAACTGGGATGGCCTCGGGATGAACTAGAAGCCCATCGCGGGAGGGGGGTGAGAGAGGCAAAGAATAGAAAGACTCCTGGTTGTTCCATGCTAATACAACTGGAGGTAGGCGGTAGGGTCCAATGCAAACATTCCTTTCCAGTTGCTCACCAACAAGGCGCAACGCGTTCTTGTGAGAATTTTCAGCATCAGTTTGTGGACATTAGTCAAAAACCGCAACCGTGAAAACGTGTCTATTGCATTTACTGAGCCAACAACGAGGCTTGAAAAGCAGAAATGCACAAGATTGAGAAGTGTTTAGTCAATTAAGAAATTATAGCTGTATGCATCAAAAAGACATTTTTCTTAATTTTATCCCACTCAGCGAGAGCGCCCCTCTGCCATGACGGCCATCTTTGTTCCAATGGAGGAACGTGTGTATCAGACCCCGCTGGATACAAGTGCGTCTGTGATAGAGGATTTACAGGCATGGAGTGTGAAAGTAAGTCACATCACAAAATATATTATCAAACACTTCAGCTCAACGTGTTTTAAGTCCGCCGATGTAATTGTTGTTTTTTGATCATAGAATCACGAGAAATGATTCAATGTTATTTGTCTGTTTTAAAGACTGAATGAATAACTATAGTTCATATTTGTGGGCCTGGTTAACAATGGTATCTTTGAGGGTAAAACAAAGCTGGGCGCCGCCCAGATTGCTCTATTTTAGGGGTATTAGACGTGCATCCCTGCTCCTTTAATGCGGGGTCCCCCTCCCCCTTCCCCCGGGCTTGAAGATATCATTGATTTTAACTCCATCTGCTGCGTTAAACTTCATGCATTGTNCGGTTGTAGATGAAAGTGAAGGATGATCATCACAGTAAATTTTCCAATTTAAGCAATTGGAAAGAAGAAGCCTGAAAAAAATCAGGGCTTCAACGGATGTATTCTATATAAACTATGTGATAGGCTAGAAAAATCGCGCAGAACATTAATGGGAAAAAAAAACAAAAAAAACAAAACAAACAAACAAACAAACAAACAAACAAACAAAAAACACGATAAAAATGACGTAACGCTGGCTAATATCTAAACCAAACAGTCTTGTTTGCAAAGTGTGAGTTACATTTTTCTATGATTGATTGCTCTTGAGGATTCGTAGCATACTCACTTATATATATGTTATTTGCCGGCTGGGAGGTCCGTATGGTGAAAAACTGTGACCGAGGTCTTGAAAATGCTGCTCGAGGCCGCAGGCCGAGGGCAGCATTTTCAAGCCCGAGGTCACAGTTTTTCACTATAGGGACCGACCCTAAGCAGTAAATTGAAGGCGAAAAATGTTAAAGTTTTAAGGGAGTGTTTTTATTTTTCTTGAAGATCACTATACGTACGTAGGAAGGACTTTTTATGTTATTTTTTATATTATATTATTTAATATTCTTTGTTATTTAATTACCGTTGGATAGTTTCCAACTTTACGCTTTTTAATTGTAAATTTGTTTAGTTCAGCAATTTATAAGTAATTTTTGCTTGCACAGAGGGGCACTAGTTTGTCCGTCCCCAACTGTTAAGTTCTGTTTTCCCTCTTTAAATAAACGTTTTATAATAAAAGTCTACAGTTGTATGTTGCAGCAACATTGCTCATCCCTTACCTTTCTTCACAGCTAAGGTAACCGCCTGCATGAGTGATCCTTGTTTAAACGGAGGTACTTGTACGGATGATGGTTCATATGACAAATACACATGCACATGCCCAGAAGAGTTCGCAGGGGAGCGATGTCAAGGTAATTTTTAAACTGGCGTTTTTTTTTTTGTTTGTTTAGTTTTTTTTTTATGCTAACTATAAAAACTTAGGCCCCGTACACACTAAGCCGGAGAAATTTGGAAAAGAAAACGGCGTTTTCACTCTGAAAACGAATCAAATTTTTCCGTCCACACTACGCCGGAGAACTTTGAAAACAAAACGGCGTTTTCACTCTGAAAACGAATCAAATGTTTTCCGTTCCAACATGCCGGAGAAATTTGAAATCGCAACAATCACCACAGGCGTCCCAAATTCACGTTTCGAGGAATCGATTAATTATTAATGAATTATGTACGCGTATTGAGTGGGACGTGATCTTGTGTGCAGTGACGCGCTCTAAAAGGCATTGTATGGAGTTAAAAATAACGAAGGATAAAAAACGCGCAACGAAATAAAATGTTACTTTCTTTTTAATAAAATAAAGAAAATATAGTCTCCTTGCCTGGTTTCTTTTGTCCATTTTGGCTATTTCATCGGTTTTCGTTTTTTTTTTTGAGGTGTTTGTAGCAGCTTACTATAGACGAAGTCAAGGCTGGATAGAGCTGTTTCGAAAGACCTGTAGCACGAGGCCGCGTTCTAGCCGAAATTCGAATCCGCTGCTCGATTTTACCCCCCAACGCAAAGAAGGATAGTTTGTTTCTCCCCTTTTCTGCTCGGCTTGGAAAAATCTTCCTCCTTGCCGCTCAAATTCGAACGATGTTTGCCTCACTACTGGAGCTTTCAACTTTCCTAAGTACCTTGTGACCGTCCTTTCGACTACGGCACAGTTTGAAACCATTAGTGGTATTAAGTTACAATGAGGCGTCAAAATGCTCCCGCGGGGTCGTCGAGAGAGGGTGGTATTTTTTAACGGAAATTTGCGACCGTGTACCCGTCTGGTAAGTCGCAGTTGTCGCGCTGGAGCGGTGGCTAGTGTTGATTTCAAACTGTGCTGTAGTAGAAAGGACGGTCACAAGGTGCAATCACCGGTCATTTTTGGATTCTCTTTTTAAAAAACTCGGACGGGGAAACCATGACGTCATCGTTTTGGAAACGCTCCGTTTTCAAAGTGTTTTCCGTAAGCACTAAAACGCAAAGCCCCCGTTTTCAAATTCCTCCGGTTTGAAGAGCGTGACGGATTAGTAAGGTAGGCCTAACCATAGAAATAAAGCTGCGTTTTCAAATTTCCGCGGCGTAGTATGGACGCGGCTTTAGGTGACAGGGCAGACGAATCCCTTGATCTACGCATGCCCGATTCGCCCTTTCTTGATAAAAGTTTCTCAAGTTCCGAGATCTTTTTCTTTTCCTGACAATTTTTTTTTTTTCTTTCATGTTTTGCAGTTTCCAAATTTTATCACATTGGATGTTTCAATCATGACCCAAACGCTGTTCCAGTACTGGAAGAAAGACCAAAACGAGAGCTAGATATCAACAAAGCCTCTGCAGCAGTTATAAAGTGTGCAGAACTAGCCCAGGAAAACGATTACAACTACTTCTCTGTAGGACACAGGGGAGTATGCTACTCTGGTCCACAGGCTAACGAAACTTACTTCAAGAAAGGACCGGCCCAGACCAAGAAGAAGTGTAGTTCAGCTGGTGTTGGAAAAAATGGAGCAGTTGTGGTGTACACATTCGGTAAGTCTGCAAACCTTAGCGGGAATAATTTTGCTGCACGCAGTCTTTTGAACTCCACTTGTGAAGTTCTTTATATTTCTCAAACTCATTAAAAATTCACCAAGTTAAAAAAAGGAAAATTACAACCGTGAAGAAGATTTGGATACCCGGGTCTTGTAAATTAGCACAGACTTTGACGATGTTTCTTCTCCTTAGTTTTACATGAGAAGATATCAAACACCCCGAATTTCGTGCAAAATACTCTGCTAGCTGCGCGTCGTATTTTCAACTCTCTTCTCGGACTTTGGATATTCCGATGAAACACTGTCTCTCGTGTTTGACTTATGATATATTACATCTTGTTGCGTTGATCATTATATGCCAGGCTAGCCCCGCGAGCGGGAAACATGAATGAACCAGCTGATCCCGCGGTGTGTAGTCAATTTTAAATTTTATTACTATTTTTCTACACTGTCTAATGTTTAGCATGACAGATCGAAAAGAACATTTTCAAGGTGCACTTCTGCACACATTGTTTACATTTCAGCTTAAGAAGTCATATCATGTAGCTTGAAATATTTCATTTGACCAGTAAACAACAATGGACGGGTGTCTGGGCAAGCAGTGACAAAGATAGCTCATGAAAAGAGATACTATTTTTTAGTCCTTATACCGTTACCTATTTAGTACCTTTATTTTTAGCTTTCTCTTCAAGAGAAAGGTAAAAATAAAGGTACTAACATAATATGTGATAGTAGTAGTTTTGCACTTTAGGCACGGCCGATGTAGGCCAAGCAACCTACAATCTTTGATTCACATGGTTACTGAAAGTGGGGTCTAAAAAGGTAAAAGGGGAATTTTCTTCTTACTATGAAGATGAGATTTGAGGTCACTTGGACTGGCATCCACAATCCAAAAAATCGGAAGGACTGGGATTTTGGTAAAACATAGATTGGGAAATGAGATTTGGGCAAAATTTAGGCCGTAAAAAAATATGTATTTATTCTTCGTCCACGAACCTCACAGAAATACGACTGAGGAAATAATAATGCCCTTTTCAATACAGTTTCACTTAAATGAAGTAGAAAGACAAGGCTGTCACTGAATACGTCTGAGTGCTTAACCGAAAAAAAAAAACAACATATGTTGGAAATCTAGTAATCGGACTTATACCAGAACCGGGGCGTTTAAGTCCCTCGTTTGATTGCTGTGTTCGAGCGGAAGTCATTGGTAAACTTTAGGTTCGTTCCTTTGAGATGATCCGGCCGGGTCAGGGTCAGTCATTGATCCACGATCACTCGATTCACGGTGCCTTAAAAAAAACAAAACAAAACAAAAAACCAGTGAACCCGCTGTGGGCAAAGATTCATCGGTTCCTTTGACGCAGCATGATCCAAGTGATCTTGAACTTGATAAACCAAACGAACGAACCCTTCAACGTGTACATTTTAGCTGATACAGAACTAGTCATTTTAACTCTGTAGAATTGCAGTTAATGTATACGTACTTAATGTTCAATCTGCCGTGCTGCGTATTTTCATTGTTAATGCTGTTACTAGCTTAGCTGCCCTGAGAGGCCGCAAAAATCCTGGAATGTTTATAGCATTGCGTTCTTACCGTGTTTACTCTGACTATTATCATAGAGCCAGTTCCCTCTTACTTGCCACTTGGCTGTTTCCGTGCTGCCAAGCGAAAAAACAAAGCTTTGCGAACAAGGTACATGAGCTTCGGCAACCAAGGGAACAAAATCAAACAAACCACTATTGATCAGTGTGCACGCATTGCACGTGCCAAGGGATATACGTACTTCGCCGTGCAGAATACTGCGGAATGTTGGTCTGATGAAGACGCACAGAATAGGTACAAAATGCTGGGCGCTCATGGAAAATGCAAGGATGGAGTGGGATTGAAAGGAGCAAACATGGTTTATCGATTCAACGGTATGAACGTTAAATTGTTAATCTAAACTGTTCACTGTATGTATCGTCACGGGCGTTTATCGAGATAAACATAACACCTTTTGCACCCAAGCAAGCTACAATGCAACCAGCTGCAAAATGTAGATACACTTTGTGCGAAAAAATGGCTTTATAAACTGAAATGGATCGCAAATACCAATTTTTTCACAGAATATAACAATTAGTCCCCATCTCCCCGATTAAACGTTGTTCATCTAAGCTTTGTACATGATTTTGCTTAGCTAGCAACATTGGAAAGGGGTGAGAGGGTAAAGATTAGCGCGGTGAAGAGTTTTCTCTCAAAAGGATGTCTCAACTACTTTTGCAACTGGTTGAAGCAAGTGTATCTTTCAAATTCAGTGACTAGGCCTTATATAATTAGAAAAGATAAATAAACACCCCTTAGTTGCAGAGACAGGCTTAGAAAACCCAGCAAAGGAACCCCTCTGACTACTACGTTCCAAGGAAGAGAGGATGAAGAGTAAAGTAGTTAATTCCCGTTATTCCCAAAGTCACATCTTTCTCAAGTTATTTTTAGAACACTTCTGCAGGTTTCTGAAATTTCAGGATGGTCTAGATGTAGCCAATCCTGTGACAAGGATTCTACACACGTGACAGCCCAAACTGCTTTACACTCGTCTTCATCATCCACAAAAGAAAAACATTGACATAACGCGCGTGGTAACGTTTACCGTTAAAGAACTGGCTACCATGTCTTAATATAACTTGACTGGAATTACCTTGAGAATAAGCTTCATATGGGGAAACATTTCTCTTACCCCTTCATCCTTTCTTA